GGGTGGGGGTTCCCCTAGGTGGGGAGACCCAGAGAGAGTGGGATACTGCCAGGGCAGCACCCAAGACAAGGGCACCGGGGCCCGGGAGGGACACGGGGGGCCAACGACAGGTGGGACACCTGGCCTGCAGAGGGCGCTCTGACGGCTGGTGAGCTAATTCCCGAGACGACCAGCAGGAGGCGCCGCCGGGGGAGCCTACGCGCTGATTACACTGGCATTCGGGAATAAGGAGCCTGTTATTTCTAATCCTGACTCACTGAGTGGCCTTGGGGAAAATGAGTTGGGGGGAGGGTCCTAATAGAAAGGGGGTCCGGTCTCTAGATACTTTCTTCCTGCAGCTAAGTGAAAAGACACATTCACTGTATCCATCCCGTCTGTAAGTGAGACTTCTGACTTCACTGGGGTTGCACCAGCTTACACTAGGCCTTAACTTTGCCCCATGCAGCCCCCCGCAGCTGTAACTTGCATCTGGCCTACCAGTCTTGGGAGGGAGCCCTCATCCTTGAAGGGCTACATGGGCCTTCTGGACACTCTGCACGGCCCATACAAGAGGGCTAGTGGCTTAATGACCACAACTTTTGCCACGTAGCATCGTAGTCGCTCTGTACCAGCTACTTCTGTAGTGTCACTTTCCTGCCACCCATACCCATCCAACTCGCTGCAGATAACCGTAGAGGACTCCTTAGATCTCTAGTAGTCCATGGAGCATAGTCAGAGAGCCACTGACCTCAACTCCAAAAATCCAGGGTGGGCAATTCCCCTGTTGCCCTTTCTCCTTTCAGAGCCCCAGAGTTCTCCAGCTGACAAACTTTCCCAGAGCGTGCAGGGTCTCCAGTCTCCCAAGGGAGATCGTTGGGGCTGTATCTCTTGGGGACAAGCACGAGCAGAATGCATTATGATTCTGTACCGATAACGAGGCATCAAACCTGAGGCTGTATTTAGGAGCGGACTGAGTTTTGTTGAAACGGGAAGTTGGGATTCCCCCCCCCTCCCGCTACACCGTTTGTGTGGAAAACTATAACTTTCATTCGACAACGTTAATCACCTAGCTGATTTCTGATGTGTTTTTACATATCAACTCCGTCCTCTCTGCTGATACTTTTTCTGCTACATTTTTTTTTTAAAAAGCACTTTGGGGCTGAAATTAGATTTTACAGCACAAGCCTTTATGGATTCTAGCGCCTTGTGACCTCCTTGGCAATATCACCAAGGCAACTCTTAAAGGGACACTAAGAAGCGGTCCTGTTTTGCTGCTCATGTCTGGCTTCAGCGCTATCCTCCTTTCATTTCTGAAAATTTCAGCGTGTCTTAAATTAGATCCAGTTTAGAAATGAAATAAAACACTCCCACTAACCTTTCTCTGGAAGTTTTACAAATTCCTCTCAAATACACGCCCAGCTGATTGTGAACCAGGGAAAAACCAGAAACTTGCTTTCCTGCAGCAAAATGATTGAGCCAAACTCTTGGGCCAGATCCTCAGCTGGTATAAACCTGCGATCGGCTTTGCTCCTGTGAAGTCAACAGGTGATGCTGATTTCCACCAGCCAAGAATCTCGCCCAGCTAATGTAGCTGATGTTGAAAGACAGATGCATGGCAAGGAAAACATTCCATTTGCCTAAACAGAGCTTGCTTTCTATAGGGGCCTCTGTCTTGTCTTTTCCTGTGTACAACGGCTGTGGCTAAGGGCCAGTATATATATATATATATGAAGGCTATGAAAAAAGCATACACTGCTCGCTGTGTGAGAGGAGCTGGCATATAGGGCAGTCAGGCTACTGGTTTGGGGGACTAAGCTGGTGCTAGGAGTGTGGATGTGTGGCTCTCTTCTCCCTGCCTAGTGGTTAGACTACGTAAAGAGGTTGAGTTTGCAACGGCCTCTGAGCTAATTGCCTTGGTTGTTTAGCTTAAGCTGTAAAGACTCTTATGTTTAGACCCAGAGGTTCTGTGTCGGCCCTGCAAAGAATCCTTAATTTCTGTTGTGTGCATTTGGAGATGTGATATAAGGGGGCATTCACAACACAGAGGCAGCGTCTTCCTGTGCCCTCCAAACACTGCAGCGTTTACCCTTTTAGGGAAAAGTTCCCACTCGTGCTTTTCTGAAGCTGGCCCTTTAAATTTGGCACCAACCCTAACCTAACCCTTGTGCAACTGGCTGCCTCTTTGCCTTGCGGCTGGTAAGCATCTGGTGTGTCTTCCCTTTCTGCGAGGAGATGGCACCTTCTCCCACAGGTGTTATTTTTTTAAACATTTTTTATTTCTTTAAACAACTCCCGGGGGCGAGGGGTTGTTTCCAAGCTCTCCACAGGATGCCTATTCAGCCTACCATGGAAATAGCCATTTAATTATAAATATCTAGATTAGCCCGCTGCCTCCCCCGTCCACCATGCATTAGCTAGTCATGGTACTTTTTATTTTTTCTTAAAGCCCCAGCTCCTGGAATCATGTGATTATGTGAGAATCTCACCTCTTTTTTTTAAGGTAGGTTTCTAGCCCTCACAGTTGTGAAGAAAAACTTGAAAACATGACTCCTAAAGGTTCAAAAGGCAAATCAGAAAATCCAGAAATACTTTTTAAAAATCTCATGACTTGTAAGACAATCTCATCATTTGGGGGTGGAGGAGGCTGGCTCATGACTTTTGAACCAGGGGGGTTGGCCGCCCTGAGGCACTGCAGCACAGATGGTATGTAAAACATGCACTGATCTTCCTGCTGTAATATTTAGCAGCAGCAGGGAGTGACACCGTTCCTGTGGAATTGAGTCAGTTTCAAAAAGTAGTTTCAGGTTCCACACCTGCCCCTCAGTCCCGCTCTCAGTCCTTGTGATTTTTACAATCACGCTTTCTTTTCTTTTCCCTTTTAAACGTATTTCCCCTCCCCTCTTGTTGTACGATTGCCAGTTTCTTTTGTTGGAGGCCTATCTGACTGTACAGCGGAAACTGAAACTGATTTATTGGGAAAATGGACGCAATAAAGTATCTTTTTCTCTAATCTTTCAGTTATACTCATTTTAGGCTTTCTCTATAATTTAGCGGATTTTTTTTACGTTGACACGGCCCCTTTAAGGATGAATTGAGAGCCTTAAATCTGAGAAGGTGTTCACTTCTGTGATTATTAAATAACATCCTTAAATGATAATGTAATGTCTTTGTGTGTGCCCACCATATAAATAACATTTCTTCTTCTAGCTTAGTAATGACCCTATTTTAATGACAATAGACCTCTAGCAAGTAATTAGCTCTCCATGCTCAGCATTTATTTCCTAAAAGAGGCATCTCTGCATACTGATTTTTCTTTCCCCCCCAGGTGATTTATTTTGCAGAGCTAATTAGCAGCCCAGCTAGGAGTTCTGTTTTAGCAGTCGTTCGCTCTTGGGCTTCTTCTTAAAGAAGGCAGATCATTAGCTTGATAAATATGTGTTTTATGATCATTTTTAATGACTTGATTTGGTCATGAGACAAAGCGACTCATTCCCTCCTTAGGTATCTAGTTGTGTCCAGTCCTGTGCCCAGCTGTCAAACCCTTTTCCTCCCCGCAGGGAGTTGGGACCAGAACTACCCCCCAGCTACAGGAAATTCTCCCACTAAATCCGAACGAGCAGCCCTGTGCTATCTGCTCCTCAATCCTCCATTCACAGGTGTCATCCTGGTGGAAACTACGGAGCACTCCAAGGGTTAGAAGATCAATGCCCAGTTGATTATAAAAGTTCACCAATCCATCACTGAGATTAAATGAAAGTGCATGTAGGACCTAGACAAAAACAATGCATCACAGTGCAACAATGCTTTGGAAGCAGCAGCCCAGGTTAACAGTAATGCACATTTATAACCGTGCCTTCCATCCCAAAGGTACCTCCACACCACAGCAGTCCAGTTGCTTCTGAGGTGGAGTACGGTAGCCAATCAGTGCACAGGGCCCATCCAGTTCTGAAGGAAACACTCTTGTTGACTTCAGCTGGAGTTGGATCACGCTCTTCATGAGCTACTCCGAAGTGGAGGGAAAGGAAAGTTTTGGATATGGACAGCAGGGCAAATTCCTTCTCTTATAGAAAAGTGTTATGGGATCTTCAGTGCCCGCTGATCCAGACAGTGTTTGAGGTATCATCCAAGAGACTCGCCGTTTGAACTGCATGTTCCTGTCTAAACATTTCCACTCCAGCTCGTCTGGAAGGCGTCCGCCCTCTTGCAAGAGGGACTTAACACTGGATACAACTGGGCTAGAAGGGCCTAATCCAAAGCCCATTGATGTCCATGAAAAGACTCTCATTGGAACAGGGATTACGCTGTTTGGAGCAGGGGCTTGGTTATTGGTTCAGCATATTCTGCGCATCATGAACAACTGCAAGGCTAGAGAGATCCTAAACATGAAAGCCGGGATTCAGTGACGCAATTAAGCTTCCCCCAGCTAAGCCATGCTTAGTTAGAGGACTTAAGTGCTTTGCTAACTATGTTAAGGTGGTAATCAGAAATTCTTAGTGCACTGCCGTGGGTGTACAAGAAATTAGGGGTCACTGTTCTCTTTTTAGGGCCAGATTCTGACAGCCGTTCTCAGGCCGAGAAGCATTGTACTGCACAGGTAATAAAGGTGAGGCGTAAGGGGTTATTTAAAGGGAGGAAGGGTATGAGAATATAGAAAAAACAACCAGAACTGTGCAGACTGAGATTTTTTTCCTCCTCAGAACTCTCTTATTTCAAAACCAAGTAAGGTGATTTGGTGAATAAATAAATCAGAAATAGGAGCAGGAGAGGCCCGAATGAACTCATCTGAATGGGGTTTGTTTCGCAAACTGTGTTATAGTTGTTGTCTCCTTCAAACATAGTCCCACTGGCTAGCCAGAGGGACCCGGTTCAGTATGAGCCTCTGGTGAAAAATACCCGTGAGACAGCCTGGGAGAGTGATGTCAGTTTCCCCATGGCGCTTTCTCATTGCGGAACTGCCAAGCTGGCTGAAATTCCACCTTGATAAGACACGTTGTTTTGTCTGTTCTTTTTTTTCCACGCAGAAAGAAATGACAGAGAGAATTTGCCACTGAGACGATTTCTGCCGAGAAGTCCGTCTGTCTCCCCCGGAGCCCACTTGCAACGCGGCATGCTGGACAATCTGACTCTGAGGTCTTGCTGTGGAGATTTGAAATGCACGGAAATATGAGTACTGCTTAAGAGCCGTATTGTGCCAGGGAACAGTGTTTATATTATCCCAGTCTCCGTTACGTGGATACTTTATTTTTAGAAACCATTGGCCAGAATGGGGATAGGACAAGTGTGTGTGCGTGCATGTGTGGGGTTAAATACATACCCACAGATTTCATTCTCATCCCCGCGAGCCCTGATCACCTGCTTCTTTATTCCCCCTCAAGCCCATCCCCTACACACCTGGTGTGTCCTAAATTATGTGGCTCTCCTTTAATTATGGCACTGATGGCTGGAGGGTGAAATCCCTAGCTAAATGCTCCAGTGATTACATCTGCTCACTGGATTGTGACCCTATTTTACTGACAATAGACCTCTAGCGAGTAGTTGTTTTGGGGGCGGGGGCAAGGAAGGGGTTTGGATAAGGGTTCAGCTAAGATAGGGTTTGGGATAACCAGGAGTTCACTATACCAGGATTCTGGCTGCCCTGTGTGCAGGTATGTGAAGAAAGCGCCTCTTGCACCATTGCACGCCTGTGCACTAGCAGCCTTGACCGGGACACTGGGAAGGAGTCGACTGGCTCACTTTAGAAATGTTCCTAAAGGGGTAGAGAAGCACATGGAAAAAAAGCACCAAGAATCACATTCGCCTTGCACCGCCGCCCCCCTTCCTTCCCCCCCCTCCCCCCGCATATCAGCCAGGCAAAGGGGAGTGGGGGCGCGCATAACAACTAGCACCAAGAGAACTGATTTCCTCTCTGATCTCTAAAGGTCAAATGGAGGTGCTCATTATCTGAATACAGAGCTGGGGGTCTAATCCCAGTTCTTGTGGATTCCTTTAATTCGGCTGTGGCGTTTGGGTTTAATTAAAACTCCTGGGACCCTGTTTGACATTCCAGTGAAGTCAGTAGTGTTACACCAGGGATGAATTTCACCCACACACATTCTGGTACGTCCAGTGGGTCATTGAGAGCTTTTCCTTCCAAACTCGGAAGGTTGGCTACAAAGACAACTATGTAACGGGGCTGGGTGAAGTTCAGATGACGTGGTTTGCGGTAGGGAAGACGAGGGGGATTGTGGGAACCAGAGTTAATCTGACTAGAGCTGGTCAAAACTGACAGTTGACACAATTTTTCACTGAACAATGGCTTGTTCCTCAAAATGGAAATTTCCATGGGAATGATTCCTCCCCTGTCCCCACCCCCAGTATCCAAAAACTGAAACACTTTGGCCAAATCCCCCCATATCTTCAGTTTTCAACTGAAGAGTTTTCAGTTTCTTGGTTCTTTAATCTAGTAGAGGTGTAACAAGATCCAACGGCTGGAAGTTGACGCTGGACATGTTCAGACTGGAAAGAAAGCATATATGTTTAACGGTGAGCGTCATTAGCCATTGGACCGGCTTACTAAGAGTTGCGGTTAGTTCTACATCACTGGCAATTCTAAATCAGTATCGGATGTCTTCCTAAAAGATCTACCCTGGTTCAAACAGGAATTATTTCAGGGACGTTCCCTGGCCTGTGTGATACAGGAGGTCAGACTAGCTGATCACAGTGGTCCCCTCTGGCCTTGGAATCTGCCACTCTGTTTGGGGGGTTGTTTGTTGTTGTTGTTTTTTAACAACACTCCCCCCAAAAAAATTAAAAAAAAATGGAGATGAAAACAGGATTTTTCATGGGAACAAAAACAAAACCCCACTAGTTCTGGCTCTGTGTTGGGGGTTCAGAATCAGTGAGTCTGGAGGTTGAGCAGAGCCCCAAAACTGAAATCAAAACTCACTCAGAACTGTGGATTTTTTCATCCGATTTTGACACCATGTGAAGCTGCGAGTTAGGGTGACCAGATGGCAAGTGTGAAAAATCGGGATGGGGGTGAGGGGTAATAGGCACTTATACAAGACATAGCCCCAAATATCGGGACTGTCCCTATAAAATTGGGACATCTGGTCACCCTACTGCGAGTCCTCCTGTAACAGCACCTAAAGTGAGCCCCAGCTCCCTCAAAACCAGGCCTGGTTTCCCTGGAAAGCTTTTCAAGGGAGGCATTTCAAGGGCCTGATGCCGTGCGATGAGCATCCCCAGGCCAATCTGTGAGCATTGAGGGCTGACCCACCTCATGTTCAGGCTCCAAGTCTTTATCAAAACTCCAACAACCAGGCAGCTGCAGGCGATGGCAAGATGTGTATGAAGTTTCACACCGCTCTCATCTAGGAGTTGACAATCTAGTAGCTTCTGGTTTCAGGGCCAAATTCACGGCGGGGGCAACTCCGCTGAACTGGCTGAACGTGGCCCTTTTTGGGTAAAGGATCGTTAATGTGTTTACTGTTGCAATAAAATATCACACCACCATCCCCATCCCTACGTTTCCAGTGCCACGCAATTCCCGTGGACTTCATGCAGCACTTTTAAACATAGTCATTTCAGTTGTGCATATCCCTTCTTCCACACCAGCTGCTGCCTCCCTACACGGACCATTTTTTCAAGGAGCAATATTTCCCCTCTTGTCCCTCAGTGAAGATAACTTCATCAGCCTGGGCTATTCTACATGGGTCTTGGAGCATCAGGTACAGGCGGCCTTGGTGACAGATGCATTCCAATCAGGCCAGTGTCATTTTTGCAAGTATTGTCATGGTTCCTTCCTTCCTTTGACATGCTCTATGGAGGACTTAGGGCAAAAATGAAGGACAAAGGATTTACAGAAAGGAACCAAGCGGTGTGACACCGAATGATGATTCATCTTCCCGTTACTGCTTCTAGAAGACTAACAGCAAGCAGCACATAGGTTTCCCCATGTTGCGGGGCCAGGGGAATATTTCACCAGAGAAATATGGGTTCTGTGTTGTTTCTAACTCTCTGGGCATGTCCCATCAGAGGAACGTTCTTCGCTTTGGAGACGCACTTTGCATGACAAACACCGCATGCCGTGATATAAAGTGAAGGCAGGAAATCATAATGGGAGAAACCATCAATATTTTCGGACAAGCTCTCTCCGCTTTGAATGCCTCAGACACTGCTACCGGATGTTGTCTCCTTATCGGAATCAAATCTTGCACCTTGGAGGATCTTATCATTTAAACTCTGATGGGCTGTTAAGATCACACGTTAGAAATTCCCCATATCATGCTTGTAATACCTACTAACTAGTGCTGTTACACTGGCCTTCGGGGAAGAGGTGAAGTGATTTCTTAGTTTTTTTGTTTGTTATATATCAAATGATCTGAGCCACAGTAGAGTTAAGTTTGTGTCTTCTGGCCTTTCTCTGTAGAGGTTTTGTACGTTACATGGCGTCAATATTTATATCATGTGCTGTACTGTTTTTTTGCTTATGAAACTGAAATGTTAAAGCCAGTATTCAAGTGCTGTGCTCAAAGCACTTATTTTATTTTTTAAATCTTGTATTCCAGATGTGTAATTTTTTACCGAGAAATGAGAAAAAAACAAAAGGTGCAAAAAAGGGGGGAAAGAGCCACTCCAATATTTTATGCATCAAATAACTGATAAAATTCCAGATGTTCTCATTTTGTTACTGATTAAAGAAACATGAACAAACTGGTGTCTTTCAATTTTCACTGGTTAACGTGTGGTAGTAGGGTTATCAGAAACTGGGATAATTCTAATGGACCTGATCCAGAGGTCCTGACTCCCATTGCTTTCAGTGAACCCGGCAACTCTCTGGGTCAGAAAAGCGATATGGTAAAAAAAGACTCCCAAAGCACTGCTGATAATCAGCTTGGAGTACTAACTCGACTGATGGAAAATTAGTGTGTGATGCAAACAAATCACACGAGGGATCGGCTGAGAAAGGGAAGACTAAGGCTCCAGTCCTGCAAATGCTTAGGAACATGCTCAACTTTAAGCATGTGAGTAATCCCGTTGTCCTCAGTGGAACTACTCATGCGCTTAGTTACTCATGGGTGTAAACTTTTACAGGATTGTGGATTGAGAGCCTCACCGGTTTTGATCTTGATGTGAGTTTAACAGGGGTAAGCGTTTCTGGCCCTGACTATTATTTAAAATGAATGTACGAGACAAGGCTGGATCTGGATTTCTGTTACCTCAGTGTATATCCAGAGCAACTCAGTTGCATTTATACAGGGGTAGCAGACCAGAGTCGAGCCTATTTTGTGTCTCTTGGAATTATCCGGACTTTTACTTACCTATCTTTTGTAAAGTACTTTGAGATCTGTGGATGCCGTTGGAAGTTAGCTCTTGGATTATGCCCGGTGGTGAATTTGTTTTTACATTACTTGTTAGCTGTATTTTTGACCATTGCTCTACTTGACGGGAGAATGTGTTAGGTGCCTCACAATGGATCCACCCCTTGTCTCAGTGAGCTCAAGAATGCATCAGAACACTGGGGGCGGGGGGGAGGGGGGGGAAGGGAAATGTCCTTTTAAAAGAAAAAGCTGAAAAGAATGGGTGCTACTTTTTCCAACGTACCAAAATGTAGGCCTTGATTGGGCTTAGCGTTGCAGCCTGTGCATCGTGCCATGGAGTTCTGTGAGACGCCGCCCATTTGTAACACTCAGCCAGGCCGTAAAGCTTTGCAGGATCGGGGGGCAAACGCTGCGTTAGCCTGACTCACAAAGGGGTGCCGAGCCTCTGCAGCGCCTGGTGACTTGGGCGGATTTCAAAGACGCTCCGAATTTCGGGAAATCGGGCCCTATGCAAATCTTGGGGAGCAGTTTTTCTAGGTATGGAGAATAGTTTCGTTATTATTTTATTTAGCCACCAAAACCCGTTGGACAAATTCTCCTCTCAGTGACACTGGGGTCAATCTGGAGTATCGGCACTGACATCAAGAGAGCACAGTTTATCCTGGAGTAACACAGGAGAAGCTGCGTTGGCTCCCAGTGAAGAGCTGTGTATTCTGTAAATACACATAGGAGAGGGAGATCTGGTATTATAGGCACATAGCTATTTACCCGTCATTCTGGAGTTCTAATCCCTCTTGCGACCTGGATTCCCTCAACGGCACCTGGCCACTCGTAACCTCTCTCTCTTTTTATTTTTCCCATCCCCAAATAGGGATTTGATGTACCTCCCTATGATGGGGTATACCCAACCTTGCACCAGTAAGGAATGGGTTAAGCAGGTGGGCCCAGGCAGCCCCACACCTGCAAAGCAAGCATGGCTTGGAGGAGGAATTCAAAAGGAGAACAGGCCAGCAGACAGTGGGGGTGAACTGTCCTGCATGCTGAGTTCCTGGGAAAGAGCATTGCAGGCACTCCTCCTGCCTGCCTGGCTATAGCGAGGGCCAAACCCAAAGGAAAGAGACTTGGGATTCTCAGAAAGTCTGAGACTTTGTCTTTGATTTCCAGGTATTTATGGGCTTTACTCTACCTGTGGGGGAGAGAGGGGTTGTAGGAAGCGATCCAGACAGGCAGGAGTATAGCATTTTGGAGGGGCAGGTCTTAGCTGCTTACTCTGGGCTCTGGTTCAGAACCCAGTGGAGAGGGTGGGCCCGGGTTCCCCTGCCAACTCCTGGGGGGGGGGGGTGCTGAAGGCAGGATCAGACACTTAATATGGGGAATCTAGGGAAGAAAAGGCCCTGAGGACTGAAAGGCAAGACCCTGAGACCTCAACCCAGTGGGAGACTGGAGATACCCACCTAACCCAGAGAGTTACCCCATTGCTGGATTCTTTATGTACCTGGAAAGGGCCAGACATAAAACACATGACCTGGCTGGAGAGCTGAGTTGTGGAAGGGAAGAGCCTGGCAGGAACAGAGTGGCTGTCAACTGGGGTGCTAGGTAAGAAGAGGGCCTGCCATGCCTTGCCTGACCACTGGCACCTACGGTGAGTGACCCCCTTCACACTTGCTCCCAGGAGTGTTGTTTAATATACTGTGATTGCTTGTGATTGTCTCGCTCCAATGGCAGCTCCCAGCGACTATACGTAGTCGACAGCTATCGCATAGCTAAGGCTAGAGCCCTACGATTTTGCCGCTGAGGCTCCCAGGTTTGAGCGTGATTTCAGCGTGGAATTCACAGACTGCAGCATGGAATTGTCCGGCTCTTTATCGCCACTGACAAAGCTGCAACGCTTCCTGGAAGTACCTCCGGTGTACATAAATACCTTCTATCTGAGGTACTTATATGTCTCCCATTCCCAGAGTAGCTGAGCATCTCACCATCTTTAAGGCATTTAGTCATAAAAAGCCCTTCTGACAGAGGAGTGGTTTATGGAGCAGGAAGTGTGGATGATATTTGTATCTTCTTTTACCCTTTGCAAAACAGTAAACAGGCCAAACATGCCCCGAGAGTATCTCCCCATCCCAGCACAATAGTGGTGAGGGTCTCAGAGCAGGTCCCCAGCACTACAATTTCACTTGCGACGTGGTTTGAAGAGACTCACAACCCTCTAGCCTCCGAGTGCGAGTCCTGATCCTCTGAATGATTCATCAGCTTGGTTTCCCTTCTTATTCGACCTCTGGGGCCTGCCCACAGGGATGCCTTTCTGTCAAGAGTTTAGCATGTTCTCCTGCTGGAAACAAGAACTGGTGTTGTTTGGTTTGTGCCACTTACATTCTTTAGTATTATCCTAAGGCCCCAGCCGCTGCTCACATCAGTTGGCAATTTGGGGCAAATTCACAGGTGATATGGAAGTGGGGCTGAGTTACACATTGGTAAATAGACCTCACTTGTTCGGCGAAGGCCTGGAAAAAGGTGCAAATTACCTTATAAAGCAACTTTAGGAAGAATAGATGTCTCCACCTTAGAGAAAGGGGGAAGGGAGGTAGAGAAAGAGGTCATGACTGGCTTAAGGTCACACAACAGGTTATGACTAGAACTTAGCTCTCTAGGTCTGGTCCACACTGCCCTGCTTGGCTAGGGGATCTCAGACACCTGAGTGTGGTAATGCTTGGTGAATACCGGTGTGCTAATGGCAGCCACCATGATGCGTGGGGCAAGTTCTGCTTATTTTTGCACCCTCCTGCTCCTCACGGTGACGGGGGTCAGCCTCTCATCCACTCCTGTGGGAATCTGACTTTTTCCTGACGGATGAATTCTCAACAGGTTTGTATAAAACTGGTTCGGTTTTGGCTCCTGGGGAAGCGGGATTCCGTGGAAGGGTGTTGGGTAAAGCCTGAGACCTGTTTGGTTGTTTGCTTCCTTCGCAGCCCTTCCTTGAGCTTTGCATGGAGTCAGGAATCCCGAAACGCAGCGCGGGTGGAAAAGCAGTGAAACGTCTGAGTAATCCAGGGCTTCCACCCAAAGCTAAAAATTGGCCTCGGTGAGCTTGGAATGAGGCCCAGGCTTGACATAAGGGTTCGTGAACCTTGGCCAACCTTTCTCTGAACCTGTCCCGAGTTTGGGGATTGATAGTGGAATCTGAAAACAGTCGTGCGCTGGGGAGTGGCTGTGGGACAGGACTCCATATTAGCCGGGTGCTGCCCAAGGAAGTCACATAGCGCGGAAGGGCTGTTAAGGGTGGGCCGAGGATGTGGCCGCTGGGTCTTCAGTTATGCTGGGCGGGCCCTCATGTCGGGCGTGCACAGAAGTCAGGAGAAGCTGCGGGGGGATTGGAAAGTTACCATGTGCCCTGCCTGCAGATTAGGGACTGGAGTCCACCCTCCCCCCCAACCACTGCAGAACTCCCGACCCTCCAACCCCATTGACTTGGGTTTTGTGTTGGTGGGGCACGAACGTCACCCCTAGTGGTCAGCGTTAGGCCCAGGGGTCAGGAATGAGAGCCTGGGACTAGTTAGCCTGGTCTCCAGGCAGACTAATGAACACAGCTGAGCTACACCAGAACTGCCCAGACGGCCTGATGGCCGGCTGGCTCCCTTCAGCCAGCTTTTAAGCTCAACGGCAGGTGGCTAGCTGCTCCCTACGTATGCCCACAGCTGTGATGGCTCCTGGGCCCGCCTTGCCTTCCAGCCTTGCTTCTGAGATTCGCTCTCACCCTTGGCAACCTGCCTGGTTCCTGACTACTCCAACCACTAGGCCTCGCTGCCCACACCCCACTGACACTGGGAGAGCAGTTGTTCAAGTGGCCAGACATTTATTCATCTGCCTGGGTGCTATCTGGCTTCAGCTGCATTGTGTTCACTAACTACTAGCCTAGGAAAGACCACAATATGTTACTCTAGGAGAGAGGCGGTCTTTGAGCATGCCCCACTTGTGGCGTGGCATGGCATGCCACTGCCGTCCCCTGCCTCAGTTTCCCCTCTGAGTTTCAGGAGTACACCCCTCACCTCCAGAGACTTTAGAACAATACTGCCTCTCTCCTGGGGTCCAGCTTATTAAGTATCCCCGGCTCCCAAAAGAGCCCCCCTTTGCCCCCCCACTTACCCTGGGGGCCCCACAGTTGTCCTTCTCGGGGCTGTCTGTGGCCTCCCCAACCCAAAAACTCTCTCCTCTTAAGTTCAAAGTTTTCACAGGCCTCCTTCTGGGAACTGACCTGGCTAAGTCCTCCCTCTCACTCTCCTTGATTGGGCTTGGAGCCTCCTCTTTGATTCACCCTCCCAGTCACCTGACCACACCTTTACCCTCCCCAGGTGGGTATAATTACCCCAAACCCTGTCTGGGAGTGAGAGGAGCCTG